AATAGTATAGATATTTTATACTGCTTCTCTTTTAGAAAACTATCTTAATAGTATATCAAAATAACTATCAACAATGTTTTTATAATAATATTTAACAAAATAATTGAATAAAATTTTTTTGTTGTAAATGGAAGATAAATAATTAAAGATAAAATATATTAATTTAGCAAAACAAAAATGTGTTTCAAAATCAAACCAAAAATAAATTTCATTAAATTATGACATAAAAGAATTAGAAAGAAATTTTTTAATACAATTAGTTACAAATAATAAATCATGATTTAAAATTTTTGAAAAATAATCAAAATATTGAGTTTGAATTATATTATTTTAATTTTTATAAAAAATAACAAATTCTAAAAGTGAAATTTATATTTTTTTATAAAAATTTCTTCCAATTTCAATTGGTCTACCACTAATTTTAAAATTTTCTTTAAAGTCCATAATAATAATACAAGAGATAGTTGTTAATTCAAGAGAATTTTTATAAAACTTATATTGTTAAGTTTTAAAATAAAAATATTGTTTATAAAAATTAATTTCAGTTTGTAATTGATTAATATAAAATTATTTTTTCTATTATTTGAATTAATTTGTTATAATTTAATTTTTAACTTTTCCTCATTAATACAAATTGAACATATATTAGTTTTTTTTAATACTTTTAGGACAAAGTTTATAAAATTTATTTAGACTTAATTTTAAATTTAAGTATTAAATATTTAACTTGAAATAAATTGTTTTTTTTTATTTTTTCAAATAATAATTATAGAAAAATTATAATTAATGGTAATATTTTTCAAAGAATATGGAAATTTAATAAAAGAACATATTAATATTAATAAATATAAATTTTGTAAAAGAAACTTAATAATAAATTCAAAAGCTTTTTTATTAATTTTTGATTTAAAAAAAGAAATATATCTTTGATAATCTGATAAATTAAATATTTAATTATTAATTTTTTTGAAAACAGTATTAAACTACTTATTATTAAAATCAAAATCCAAATTTTTTAATTTTGTTCTACTATATAAACTAGCAATTGATGATAAATACTGGATTTATATTTTGTAGAAACAGAACTATACATAATTTTTATATTATTCAAAACTTGTTTTACTTTTAATATATTTTATAAATTAGAAAAAAAAGATTTTTCAATATAAGAAGAATTGGAAAAATAATTATATAATTGTTTTGGTTTATTGCCAGATAATTATAAAGCAGTATTATGTAAAATTAAAGAAATAATATTTTTTTGTGATGAATAATATAAGTTAAATAAGAGAAAGTAAGAATTATATGTATTTAATAAAGAATAAAGTTTTTTTTTAAGATTTATGAAAGATATATAGAAAATTAAGAAAAAATTAAATAAGATTTAAAAAAATATTTTCTATTTATATAAAAATAATTGATTAATATTCTAATTGATAGAATATTTCAGAATATTCTAAAAAAATTTAAATTTTTAAAACAATATAGAATTTTCTAAAACTTTATAGAATTTTTAAAACTTTAAATAACTTTCTAGAATTTTCTAGAATTATATAAAATTTTCTATAAACTTTCTGTAATTTTTTAAACTTTTTAAAAAAGGTTACATAAAATTATATATAAAAAAAAGTCACTAAAAATAATATATCTAAAAAAAGATTACTAAAATTTTTTTATTAATATTTTTGTTATCTTTAAAAAAATAATTAACTATTTATAAATTATAATATATATAATAATTAATTTTTAAAATTAATAAATAAAAATGCTTTTAATTACTTTTTAAATATATTTTTTTTATAAAAAAACTCTTTTGTACATAACTTTTTTCTTAAAATTTTCCTTTTATGGTAATTTTTCTTCAAAATTAAAGAAACAAATATTTTTTTCACCTTTCAATATCCAAAAGTTCTTTACACTTTCTTTTTTTTCACTACAAGAGTCTCAAGGAAATTAAAGAAGTATATTAGTACATTGGAATGAAATCTCTAGCCAGAGAAAAACAAGTTTGGAGACCTTGCTTTTTCTTTGAATTGCATGAAGGAAGGCCTATGACAGTTACTTCTTTATAAATCTTTCTTGGAGTTTTCCTATTTTCTTTTCTTTACAATACACAAATCTTTTTAAATAACTATACTTTTTGCTTGGAGAACTTCTTTTATCTCAAAAAACCAGACTTCATATCAAAATTGTTTATATTGTTGACTTGAAGCATCAGCAATATATTCAATGTTTATTTTTCACTATCACTCAACATATTTTGTTGCATCACCAAAAATCAAAAAATCTCACTCAAAAAATTTCTTATCAAAAAATCACAATCAGTTTATTTCTGTCAATTAATCAACATTCCAAACTTAATCAATCAAACACTATCAATTTTTCAAACAAATTTGTACAACCAAAAAACTACACTTTGATCAACATAAACAAAACCTTTTATGGCAATAACAACCAAAACAAAATTACATCACCAACAAACAAACCAATCACAAATTACATTATTACAACAATAATATTATCACTACGACTAATCATCTATTAAAAAGATATATTATCAACACTATTGTACATTTTGGACAATAGCTTGGCCATTTCAGGAAATGCAACAGTACTTTAGTTAAATGGAACTATCAGCATGGTGTGCCTAGTGATTTTATCCAAAGCATCTATAGCTTCACAATTAGTGTTTTTGCATTTATTTTTTTTGTTTTCAATTTTCAATTTCTTATAGTTTTACATATAAACCTGAGTAGGTATTCATAGCTGCTCGGCATTATTTAGAATGTACATTGGTTTTAATATTTATTTTCCATGTCACTTAGATAGTTTCTATAGGCAAGCTAGCATTAGACTTATTAGCTTAGCAAGTTATATAAAAGATGTTGTCACTTTCTTTATGTATAAATTTTAAACAATTTTACAATTAATAAAGTGATGATGTTTACCTACTTTAATATATATATATATATATATTTTATATATTAAATATCAAAAAAAAAGCATATTTACAATTATTTTAAAATTGTTTTTTAAGATCAAATAATCAAGACAATTATTACTATTCATTTTTTTTAAAATAATTAACAAGAATGTTATTTTAATTCTTTGTTAAGATATTCTTGTTAAAATATAAATAATAAAAAAATATTATTTATAATTTATTTATTACTTTATTTATTTTTTTTTGAATATTTTTTTTTGTATTATTAATTTTAATTTTTTTTTTTTTTACATTATCATCATGCCTTTTTTTTTTTCATATCTTTTTTGATAATACAATTAATATAATTAATAAATGGTTTATTTTATTTGATAATTATAGATACCTTACGATTATAAATCTAATATACCGGATTTAAAATTTTTATTGTAATTTTTTTCATCATTAAGTATATACATTTTTTATATTACATATTATACAGTATATCAAATGTATAAAATAAGTATTATTTATTTTTCAAACGTCATAATGTCGTCTCCGTTTTTGATCCGATCCGATTTCCGGATCTGACAACCGTTACAACAGAATCAGCTTACCGATTATAGAAATGCTATAGTCAAATCAGTTCATATTTTTTACGTAATGTTTTGTTACGTACGTACGTATTAGTATGATACGCTCGGAGTCGTAAATTAGAAAAGGGTCCGTGGTGTACTGTACACAGATCAGTCGAGGTGTACAATTAATTATATGTTTCCTGTATAAATAGTTACCAATGGGAAAGGAAATTCATAGTAGACCCTGCACATCTTTTAATTTGTGGATACCTGTGTGACGTGATGCCAGTAATCAGTAATCCTTGAAAAAGTTCCAGAAATAGAGATGGCGTACATACCTGTACTCTTTACGGTCGGATCGTTTCTACATACGTCGGAATTGAAACTAGAATTTGAAACCAAATTTATTAATTGCTCTTTCCGCACCCAGGTAAGCGAAATAGAGTAACATCGTTCGATTGCACACCAGTGTTCCATAGAAGTAGAATACCGAGAAAAACTCTATGTACGTACGTAACATCTTATTTCTTTCCATACAACAGAAGAAACATTTTGTTATTCATGATCATTTTTGCACATAAGAGAAAAACAGAAATCCTTCACTCCTTTTCCTTTAAACATCCTTTTTGATTACATAGCCGCAGGTTTATTGCATTTTTTTTTTTATGTGCAGTATTAGAACAAATACAACTCTATTTTGGAGCATTCATTCATTATCTCATCCATATTTTCACACACACATATATATATATAAATACAGTGGACGTTATTTTGGAAGAGAATTAGTTGGATACAAATAGAATAAACAGGATTTTCTTTTGCAATTCTATATTCGCAATAGCTGCCAGTTACTTCTCGCCCAAGGTTATTTCTCCTTACTATAAACACTTTTTCAACCCTACTTCCAATAATAGCAATAGTGGACTTACGGCAAAATATCATTATATTAATCAATCTATATTGGCAAACATCAAATAATAAATAGTAACCCATTTACGATTTAAAAAAAATTTCTGCGTTTCTTTTTCTTTTTTTTTTCGTTCGCCTTCCTGAACAAATCTTTTCGTCAATCACGAAATAACGTTCTTTTTTTTTTGATATTGTATATCAAGAAACAAATACGCTTACCGAAAATACTTTATAAAAAAAATCCAGGAAATATTTAACAAGGCCCCTGCACAATGTGGCGCAAGCAGAGTAGAACAAACCTTAGGGTATTTTCCATTTTAATCCATTTTGAGGGTGAGGGGAGAGTAGGAGCGAAAAACTTGTATTCATTTCTTTTTTACTAATACTCCCGCACAATATTATTATGCGTTTAGAACAACGGAACTTCATCATCATCATCATCATCACATGGTCACCCGAACGACTATTTTACCACCACCAACATCATCGCATCTCATAATTCCCATTACCCACTAACACCTCCAGGAGCCAACACGGGTTCCACCGATGGTAACCAAAAATCAAAATGGAAAGCAAAAATAAGAGTTCCTATGAGACTAAACTCCACGGCCGGCAAAGCTGCGAAAGCCATGAAAGCTCACGACTATGAAACATCGTTAAAACACTTGAATGAATTGGTATCCAATTATCCAAACAACTATAAAATTATGTGTGACCGTAGTATGGCGCATTATAATCTGAACAACTATCGGGGAGCTTTAAACGATGCAGAAGCAGCAAAATTAAAGAAACCAGACAGATCACGTGCATACTATATTTGTGGGTTTATTTATGATAAGCTAGGGGAGGCCAATGAGTCAATACGATCATTAAACCATGCATTGCAAACATCATCCAATGATCCGGAAGCACTGGAGGCACACAAGATATGTGCAAAAATATATTACCATCATGATGATTATAGAGAAGCTCTTAAGCACTTAAACAGTGCATTACAATTAGATCCCAATGATTCTTGGGTTCTGCATGTGCGAAGTCGAATCCGTTTCGATCGAAAAGAGTATGATCAATCGTTGGCGGATGTAAATGCTTTGATAAATATCGAGAGTGCATCCACGAATTCCAACATGGAGTTGAGGCACGATGCATTTGAATTGCGTGGAACATTGCATAAGAAATTAGGACAATATGAACCTGCAATATTTGATTTTAGTTCCGCCTTGAATATAAAACAGAAGGATGCATCGCTGATATTTAAAAGAGCGAGAGTATATCTGAAGCAAGAGAAGTATGCCGAAGCACTATCTGATTTTGAGAAAATTGAGAGATTAATAGGGCTTAATGATGTAAACGCTGATCCAAAGATATTAAGAAATCGCGGATTGGCACACAAAGGATTGAATAGATTCAAAGAGGCATTGACTGATTTCACCAATGCATTGGCTATTGAAAAAAAATCATCAACCTATAGACACCGAGCACACGTATACTTCATACTGAAACAGCTGGAACAGTCTATTGGAGACGCGGAAAAAGCCCTGGAACTTGATCCACAGGATACTCTAGCAGAAGATCTGCACAATAGGATCTTGTCTCGACTTAAACGGTAAGCTTTTTGTTCTATCTGTATACTGCGTTTGCCTCTATTCACAATAATTGATTTTCTCTGGTTTCGATGATCACAAGGTTTGATAAAGCATTAGAAGGATTAAAAAAAGCCCTTAATGCAAATCCACAAAATGTTAACGCACTCACCGAAAGGGGAGGCGTGTACCTTTCGATGAAACGGTACAGCGAAGCTTTAAATGACCTCAACCTTGCCATCAGTTATCAACCCAAAAATTTCATGGCCTTATTAACCCGTGCGAAAGTGTATCGAATCCAGGAGTCCTATCAATTATCCTTGGTCGATCTAAACAATGCCATAAACGTGGAACCCCACAATGCTCGATTACTTAGGAATCGAGGTAAGGTGTATACATTGTTGAATGAATATAACAAATCCATTGCGGACCTCGACCGCTCCATGTCCATGGAAAAGGAACCGCATACGTCAGCACTGAAGTATCGCGGTATATCCTATTCAAAACTCGGAAAATATCACGAAGCTATTTCCGATTTTAATAACGTCCTCAATATGAAACCGTCGAATTCAACCGTTTATTATCATCGTGGGAAGACCTATTACCACCTGTCGGAATTTGACAACGCTCTCGAGGATCTGAACAAATCACTAGAGTATGAAGAAAATTTGGAATCATTTAGATTGAGATCAATGATCTATGAACAAACTCAAGAATTTGAAAAATCAAGAAGCGATTTAGATCGCATATTGTCAGCAGAACCAAACAACACCTCCGTGTTGTCCAAGAGGGCTGAGTTGAATGAACGTTTGAAACAATTCCAGGATTGCGTTAACGATTTGAGCAGCGTGATGAAACTGGCACCACAAAATGCACGTGCATTAAATTCTCGTGGGAGGATGTTGGTGAGATTATGTAGGTACGAAGAGGCGCTCAGGGATTTCAATAAATTGTTGGAGATGAATGAAAATGATGTTGAAACCATAGGATTAAGGGCGGAAGTATACCAACGATTAGGGAAATACGAGGAAGCATTGAATGATTTGAAAGATGGAATTGCGAATAAGCCTGGAAGCAAGCGTTGGTTGCTTGTGGTGAGAGGTGGAATACTCAGAGAACAAGGAAAATTTGAGGATGCATTAAATGATATAAATGCAGCCATCGATCTTCCACCCCCAACAACTCTTAAACATGATTTGACTTTTTCGAACGTCGCTCAACCTGGGACCAGCAAGAAAGGAACACTTTGCGGGACGCCGGAAGCTCGACAAGAGGAAGATAAAGTTCATGCAATGGCATTATGTTACCGAGGAGCGATCATGAGGAAGATGGGGAAGACGGACGATGCATTGGATGATTTGAACAAAGCGTTGAACATGGACCCATATAATTCATTGGCATTGTGTGAGAGGAGTGCTATACTTAGGGATAATGATAAGTACGATGAAGCGTGGGGAGATCTAGAGATGGTGTTAAGTAATTACGATGATTTTGACGAATAAACGGATAGGAAATATATAATGTCGGCGTGCATTTATATGTGTATTATTATTTCTTGTAAATTTTGACTACTTTTTTTTTTTTGTCATGCTGCTATGACTAAAAAATTCTGCATGTACCTACCTTTCTTTACTGTTAGATATTCCCCCATTACCAACGGGTACATTAAATGATGCATATCATTTTTAATCTATTTTCATGTTAAACATCAGACATTTTTCCTTTCATTAATTTGTCATTATGTGAGGAGATTCTGTGTGTGTGTGTGTGTGTGTGTCATCGATTTATTAATTAAAACGCAAAGTGAATAAAACTTTGTGATAAATTTAGATAACCAGACTTTTCGACATTTAAAATGCCAATAATATATAATGATGCCATAATTGTATAAAGTTTCTCTACCCAACAAATAACGCAACTGTTTCTAATTATGCCTTATGTGTAAAGTTTATGTCAAACGCAATGTTAAATACTTATTATTGGTTCCGTTTAAAAGAATCTAAAGCGACATCGCTCGATTAAAGAAGAAGAAAGTTATTATGATGACATTACGCCTTCCTTCAATACATTTGTATATGACGCCAGTATCACTCATCCAATACCGAAAGAAAAGTATAAATTGCACATTTAAAATTAACAATAATTTAAATTAACATTATTAAAAAACAATTGAGTTAACTATTACACATCGCACATTTGAAAATCGCGCTGATAAAATCACACCAAGATAATCATTTCACTCGTAAAAATCCTCTTACATCCATTAAGAATCTAAACAAGACCTCTCGAAACCCGGAAACTTCTCTCCGCCGAATTATCACTTCGGGAAGTGTCTGCGGGATCGCCCCCGATAGTATGGAAAACGCGTCGTGAAGTCGATTCTGGATTTCGGGTGATGTTTGTTGTGATATTAGAGTTTGCACAAGAGTATTGTAAGATTCCTAAAGAGATTCAGGATTAATCAGAAATCGGACAGAAAATTTTAAATCAGAAGAAACGACAAAGTGGAAACCCGTAGTTACCCTTCTGGCGCATATTAATGCGACCAATGCTGCCGACGCTGGTTCCAACAGATCAGCTTCGAAATCCTTGAACAAAAAACATTCCAATATAATATGCAAAAGTCTATCAAGAGGTTCATATAAATATTGCACAACAGTTCTTCCCTTCTTGCGCTCTTCGTTATGCGCAAACAAGGCTAAAGGCGTGATGGCTTGATATGCCAAACGAGATACTTCGTATATAGGAGTGGTTATTAATTAAGGCGAACATTTGGTGAATGATGAATTTTAATTGACAAATAAAATTCAAGGATATTTTTCGATTCCATACTCCAATGAAGCATACAGATTTCTTTGAGAGTCCGCGGAGAGTCCTTCCAATTTGTCGGGATAAAACTCCACCAGATATGAAACAAATCTCATATATTCTTTGCACAATTTGGGAATCTGCATAATTCAAAAAATGCCTCTCTTAACACTGAAGAATAATTCATATGGGTATGTATATGGTGAATAAAGACTTACCTTGAACATGTTTGTGTTGATTGTGGGTATTATGAAATCGACACCATAAAGAACGACACTAGGAATGTCGAATTCGGTTGCTGTCTTGTTCTCTTGTGCGTCATCATATACTTTAAGAATACATAATTGATCAAAATTAACGATCACGAATTTTATGACATGTGAACTCGAGGCGCATATAAAAACTCACGGTACTCCCGAAACTCCGATGCCATAAGTCCCGAAAGAATGTTCAGTATGATCGATATGTCGGCGTACGGTTCTTCTTCGGCTTCCTCGGAAGATAAAAGTCGTTTCCTTCCTAGAAAATTTTATCAGATAAATATTTCATTCATCCACCACCGCACGGAAAAGACAAAGTTCAATAAAAAACTGCATACCGAAATTGACCGAAGCATAAGATTTAAATAAGTTCGCTATGATCTGATAAACAAACTTTGCTTGATCTGTGGACAACGATCCAAGGTCTTGATAGGATACGAACGAATCGAAGAATTGTAACACGAGCAACCCAACCTCGGGACAATTTTGATAGTAGTGCAATAGTTTCACCATAAATTCAAAATACTTTGAACAGAACGAGCAGATAAGCTCGCTGTTTGCGATATCCGAGGCTAACGCAAGACCATCAAACATCTATTGGTGTGACAAGAATGTTAGTATCTGCAGTAAGATTCACACATTTTATAAAACATCATCGACTCAACCTCTAGGGCATTCAGAACTTCGGCCATGACGTCGGCTTGTTGATAAACGTTTTCAAAGTCGGGCCGTTGTAATACAGCCAAGAACCGTTTCTATCAAAAGCGTGGTTTATAATGAATTATTTCAAATTCCATCTGAAACTCGCAAAGTTGAAGGAAAATACAAACTTCAATGGCACCCGTAATCATCTGAAAATAGTGATGCCTTAATTCTTCGTCAGAAGCTCCGGACGTTATTATAGCTATCGTCTGAATTAACGAGCTTTTTTAAAAGGCGATTCCGCAAGCAAATAAATAAATCTAAATTTTCAAGATAAAGAATCACGAATTGTTTTAAAAGGCACACTTGTGAATAATCTGCGGAAAATGATCGAGATTCCCGGTGAAGAATGTGAGCAAGTCTGAAAAGTTACCTACAAAATTCAGAGATCGTAATCATTTAATTACGATCGAGTGATTAAGCGTACGACATAAAATTAATATTATTTCTACTTGATTTCAACAAGCCATTTCTTAACGACGTTTTTTTTCCGTAAGAGTTCAGCAATCTCTCAATCTATTTCCATGAGAGAAACATGTGAGAAATGTGGAGATGAGAGAAAAAAAAAAGAAAGAAAGGAAATTACATATGAACCTGCGATAAAGGACCCGGATCACTATTCCAAAGAATAAAATTGACCTTAATCTTGCCGATCAGATAGTTCAATATGTGTTGTCCTTCTCCACGAGACTCGGGCTTCCCAAATGCGCGTACTACATTATCGCTTTTTAAATAAATCATAGAAACAATAAATGTATGTGTGTAATCATTTGGGGAATTGCTTTGCCATTCATGCGTTTCAGAATTGAAGAATCTAGGCACCTTATAGATGAATAATCTGATTCATCGATTAGTAAGTAAGTTTTTCCCCATCGTTCGAAGAACCAAAATAATGTTTCCGCTACACGAGGGCTGCAGTGTGATGTCTGGGGTGAGTTTTAAACGCAATGAATAAGTGGTATGCACCATCAGGAACCTTGAGAAAACGCATAAATTATAATAATAACATACCTCAACAGCAGAGGTATCCAAAGATACGAGATCCAGAATCCCGGAAATTGTGTTTACGAGTAGCACTATTTGATCGTGGTTTTTCCCGAGATTGCACTGGAACGAAGTGCGAAAATATTAGACGAAAAGAGAAAAGGAACAGAAAATTGGGCACCAGATGTGAACCTAACCTGAGAGATCGATAATTTCATTAAAGCATCTGGAACAAGAGGTTGTTCACCTTCGCCAGCATCGGCCAACACGAAAGCAGATATTAGGACCAACCAATGGATTGACTCTTGGAGATACATAATCGTACAATCGGCTTTGAAAATACGATGAAAGAATAAATATCAATAAGTGGATATAATTATATCTGTAACGTTAAAAAACATATATATACCAGCAAAACCGGCACTGTTATCTGCGACCGCCATGAAGAACGCTCTTAGTTGCGCAGCGCGTTCGTGCAATAGAACCTGGAGTTTATCCAATACCCTCTGACCAACCATTCGCGCCAATATTGCAATGCTGATCAATTGATCCTCATAAGTGACCTAATTGCGCATGATTCGAGGTTATGTATATGCATACATCTATGTACACAGACAGACCTCGAATTTTTTCTTTGCGAGACCACACCTACCCAATCTTTAAAATTGTTAGCCTCCTCGTCGTCATCACTAGAGCACCTCGCCATTTCCAGGCGGGTATCGATGTAGGTTGCTGCGATGTGATAACTAGCTTCTCCCAGAAAGGCTATGAATCCTGCAGGATTGAACGATGGCGATTGTTGATGCTCGTGTAAACTTTGATAAGACTGCGCATCCTGAGCTAAAACAAAAAGACAATCAGATTGAATGTCTATTCTACGAAACTACACTTGACCAAGTTTCTGAGGAAACACATCAAATTAGAATACTCGGTCATACCTAATTTGACCCAAACCGCCAAAAATTCATCGAAAGCTTCTAAACTCCAGGTGCTATCCTCGATTAGGTATCCGTAACCATCTTTAACCATCGCACTTTCCCTCAAGCAAGTTGCGCTTAATTGGGCAATCTCATGAAGAAAATTTGAGAAATCGGGTACTTTACATAGCGTCGGTAAAGAAATAGTACACAGGAGCCTTCGCGTCATCTGTGAAATACCGAGAAGACTCGGACCATATTCGGCTGACGCAAGTCTCTCCGTTATATTACTTGAGAGGCTGTCAAAGGGTTAAGATTCGCCTTGAGGGGATTCAACTGCACGTGAATGGTACACTTACTTGTTAATAAGCTCCAATATTTCGTGTTTCATTATGACAACATAATCAATGATTTGTTGTTCTGACTCAAAGATCACGCCATGCAAACCCGAAATTTGAATCAAGCATTGTCTGCAACGATTAGCCAACTGCTCGTTCTTCTGTACGGCTTTATATAGCTTTTTTTTTAAGGAAAAAAAAAAAAAAAAAATGAAAGGATCAAAAAAAATGCATGCAATCGATTATTGATTATTTAAATGATTAATAAGGTCAAATATGTATTACCCTAAAAAACAATCTTAAAACTTCGTCGTGCATCATATGTCCCCTCCAGCTAGCAGGAAATTCGCGTGTTCTGGTTGTGATGAACAACTCGTCCTCTATGATATCATTCTCATCTTTCGAAAAGGTGCCAGCTAACAGAGACTCATTGTTGCTGACAAAGTCCCAACATAAAATCTTTTCCGCCAGGTTAAGCGACATTGCCAAAAGTGAGTCATGACTTAGATCATGATGAGGAATAGACGTGGCCACGCCAATCTGATGGCCGTTGGCATAAGGTTGTGAATATTGTATGCCATTTGTGGTGTGCATTTGTAATCGCTGATGCAAGATCCGGAGAACGTGATCAAATATGGGAAGTAGATATGTGGCCTTTTTGATTGTTGAAAAGTTCGAAGGTCTATTTTTTTAGCCCTCGTTCCGAAGTTGCACGTCATCACAATGACTGATAATATTTATCAAAGCTTACTTCAAAAAAATCTTTGCATTTCTTATGAAAATTCCAAGGAAGTCCAACGTTGCTCGCTTTGGTAGAGGAGAATTCATCCACCAGCGCATTAGCCAATCCCACGCCAACCAATTGCTAAAGAAATGAGTGCGGGCGGATTTCCCGAATATAGTTGAAATCAATGCAATCAAATGTGACAGGCTGACATGAAGTCTTGAACTTACGCTGTGTCCGTCCGTTGACTTGATATCGGTTAAAATCGAATGTTTTTCAGCATCATGATAATCTTCGAGGCCGCGTTTTATCATCACGGAAACCGTGTGAAGAATCTGATTCTGAACATACGGCATCATTCTATAAAATTGTTTCGCATAAACGAATGAAGCCTGGAAGAATGTCAAATAGAGACACAGGAAAATATGATACGCATACGCACTCCGTACGTTGTAAGCAATAGTTGATCAACCAGTTCTTCAGATTTAATAAATAGTCTTTCGAGTAGAATGCGTAATCCCGAATCACCGAATCCTTCACCGCTGATGCCATATGAAACTGTACGTAGTGTGATGTCGTATGTTCTAAAGAAGAATAGAGATATATATATTGAAGAAAATGCAATGTCATCTACGATTCGAATCACCTTGAACACGTGACACTAATAATTCGTACCCAATACATATTGACACGCCTCCAAGTTTCCAGACATTTGCTTGAAGCTTAACATGACTTGTTCTCCAGCATGCCGAGTGCTCGGAACCTTTGTCAAGAATTAAACAAGGTCAAAAATGATCGATCCCTGGAATCACTCCACGAATAATACTCTCAATCGCTTCTTAAATGGTCATACAGACACTCCCGTAAGCTTATCGAATTCTCACACCGCCGTGTGCATTCTATATGTCACCTGCTTTCTTGTTTCGAAGAAATCCTCTCCCTCTTCGAATGTGAACTAACCGACCATCAAATCACAATAATCACCTGCATATCAGCACAAGCCTCCTCAACCTGCAGCAGTACCGTGGGTAAATTCATGTTTGAAATGAGAAAATAATATCGGGTAACGAAAAATACATCTGCCTCTTATATAAAAATCAGCTGTAGTATCGGTGTCACCAGGTATACGCTTACGGAGGTCACATGGATGTACAGGTTAGAGATCCGAGTGTGTCCTTCCAGCAGGTTTTGCTCTCTCAAACTTACGACGTGTTGTTCCGAGACACAGTAAGTATCGATGTGCACAGATGCAAAATAACCAATTATAACTAGTTTCTAAAACGACCACCTAAGATAATTCCTGCCCCGGAAGATGATCATAAATAAATAAATAAATAAAATTTATTATTATTATTATTATTATTATTATTATTTGAGAAAATAACTCATTCGTTGTTAACATTGCGAGGAAAACAATAATTCCGTGAGATTTTAAGATGAATCCGCATGCAAAATTTAAACATTTCCTTCCCTGTTTTAAGAAGGAATCCTCTAAAAAAAAGTCTAATTAACAATGGCAAGCATACAAAAATTTTACATGAACCTAAATTAGATAAGAAGGATATGTTGATGTTGATTATTAATAAATTGGGATGTAGATCGAGATCACGAATCGAAGTTTGCATCGTGAAGCGTGATAGATAAGCTTAAGTGATCTGATCAATCAGTAGGACTGACTACCCTGGTTTAGGAGAATGTGATTCGCACATCAAATTTACTTTATCATGCAAATTTAAACTTGCACGTCATTCAGCGATGAAGTACGCTGTACTTGACGGTATACTACGACAGATAAATCTTAATAAATGTGTCTTTAGGTCTTTTCATTCTGTAATTCACAGATTTGGCTAGTATCCAATCTTGATCATCGACTACGGTGATTCTATCGTCAAACGTCGGATCAAGATATTGCACCCATTCCGGGAAATAATCAAACTTTTCTCTTATCACATCTAGAAATTCGCTAAACGTTCCGTCGTAAGGAAACGACAATGGCAGTTTCGTCCCGCGAAATATGCACATAAAACCGATCTACATTTTACCATAGAGTTTTTGAACGTTACGCGAAACGAGAATGTGTGTGTGATTAATGAAAATAATGGGTTACCTCTCCTTCCGCAAGCGTTATTTTCGGCAGCTCATCCTCGTCGAACTATCAGATTCCGAAAGCAATTAGTTTTGCCTTCAAATGAATACTTTGATGTGAGAAAAATGATTCTTACCAATAATTTACTAATCAACAATTTATTCTCTCTTCCAAAATTTGTAAAACACAAGCTGTTTAATCCGGCTTCCACCAAAGCTATTTTATTTTCGTGCTCCCAATCTTTTGGACGTAACTTAAATCCAATAGCATTCGTGAATATGCCTTGGGTCGGATCACTACTCGTTACTCTGGGGTTCTTTTTGTAAGGGAACCCGTCTGAATGAATATGATACTAATATCCAAATTATTAACACCGAAAAGATAAATGTGGTATTTTGTGCATATCGTGATTGTGATAAAAAAGAAACATTACCTCTCTCCGGAACCCATGTGGCACACTGATTTCCAAAACTTTCGACTTACCCATTTTAATCCCTTTCAATTGATTAAAAGGAATCACCAACTCATCCTTAAAGCCAAAAAGGCACAAAGATATTTCACTTCTTTGGTATTTAACTAATAGTGCGAGCGCACCACACTTAAATGGGTACTCTTCATTTTCTTTAGTGTTAACTATTATTTCGTCTATGTCGACCTTGATTAACAAATTTTTCTTTGGATCGTTTTGAATCCTCTTCTTTGATTTAGAGGAAGCCGGAAGGATTTGTGAGGAATTAGATTCTTGAAGTCTCTTTGAAAAGGATGGTGTCGGCAATAGTCTTTTGAGTTCAAAATAAATAAATTTTTGAACACGAACAAAAATTCATTTGAGCATTAAAAACTACCTCCTCATTATCCGAAAAATCGATAAGGTTTACTTCTTTGACGACGTGCGCTCCTTCCATGTCGCAGGGTTTGTTCAACGTTCCTGACGCTGCGGTAAATGATTTACATAATGTGGGAAAATAGATAAAATAGATCGGCGTACGTTTTCTCCTTAGACGTTAAAATAGATGTGTTTGCATACGTAAATCAATATTATGTAATAAAGTTTTCAAAAATATCATTGGAAATTCGGATTGGTGAATGATTGTTTGAAATGTATTCTGGCTCATGTTCCCTAAATACGTATTAATATATATCATCATGATTACGATGAAATCATATCAATCACTTGACTTTTTTCGCATAAATTTGATATAAAACATCGAGTCTTCCATCAATTCAACTCACCCTCACTCATCCATGACTTCTCAGATGTCTACTGAGCAAGAGGAGTTGAGCGAAACCATCAAACCATCTTCCATCCAACAGAGCTTGAAAAATGTCAGTAAGTCTGTTTACACTCGATTGCCTCATTGGATGCAAAACGTTTGGAATTCGGCTTACGAAGTGGCTGCCAGATATTCCATTCTCAAAGATTTCTCAATAGCTTTTGCTTCATTGTCCGTGCTTCCCTTGGCATTCTTTTTGATATGGGTCATCGGTTCTCTTGTTGCCACAATGGTTATTGGTAAGTGCGAAAGAATTACCCAACGTCTGCGTCCTTCATCGGTCCTAACCACGTGATTCAATTCAATCGTTAAAGGTGTCGTTGTCTATCTTGCGGTGAATGGACTTGCGATAGGCGCCGGTTTCCTATTACTCGCCCCGATCCTATTCTGCTCTTTAATAGGTGCAGCATTGACAACTTGTCTGACCACCAGTGTTCGTTTCACCTATTGGACCGGAACGACAACTTACAAAGCCATCATGAACTTTCTTCGGAACCGAGATCATTCTGGTGCAACTATTGGCTCGAGGAACAATTTTCCGACATATAGCCAACAAAGCTGAAAGTGTTGATGAGGAAAGAATTAACTTGAATCACGATGGTGATGATTTTTTAAATGCTGACGCCCTTGAAAATGATATGTCGGAATTTGACGAAGACGAAAATTATGAAAGCGTGGAACATTTTGAGTGGGTAGATAAATGGCGTATATACTTTGGAAAACTTCTTAAACTTCCCAGAGCTCTATTTGATGCTTTTCGAAAAGTTATTCTCTATTACACCATTATCCTGTTTTTTATTGGAGGTTTGGGGCGTTACGTGTTCGACGATAAAATGTAAAATGGAACTAGAAAAATAAGCTCATGTACATTTGTTGCATTCAAAAATGCGTAAACTCGACTTCTTAATGAATGAGTTAATAAACCAGGAAATAATTAATCTAATAACAACATAATTTATCAATTTCTACTCAAAGAGTGCAAATGTTTTTACTATTGAAAAATAAAAAAAAGTTCATTCTACGAATTTTTATTTTTTTCTTTATCATTTATATTATTATTAATTGCAATACATGGTAACGACTTTTCTTCCAATAGAACCTTGTGGTTCGACCAAAAATTAACGAAAGTTTCAAGAATAAGTTAATAACAACCATGTAGATCAAAGGTTTAATAAAACAATAATTGGTTTTTTGTTGGTTGCGTGCAATATGATGACGTTTTAATAAAATATATTGGCAACGAATAAAATATAAAGCCGAGATAATATTTAATTTTTAATCTTCAAATATTTTTACCATATGATTTTACATCACTATTCGTTTTTATTAAAACATTTTATGTGATACACAGTACCGTATATACACAAGACATCTCGACTTGTTTTTCATATTCTCGTCCATAATCAATCAATCTTGAAATTTATTCTTGTAAATTTAAAATTTGAAGTATTAAAATTTATCATAAAAAAATATAACATACCGGTCATGTATATCACATGAATCAACTCATTGGTTGATAAATCGAAAAAGCTTTTTTTGCAATATGGATTTCGAAAGTAAAATGATAAATTCGGTTTTTTCTAAAATTAAAAAATATTATTAAAAAAAATATTTTTATGGTATTTAAATGCAATTTGTATATTTAAATGATTTGTTTTTTTTAATCGTGAAATGATACAATTTAAAATTATTAATCGATATACAATCTATTTATTTGTTTGAATATTTTTATGTTTTTATATATTTTTAAATAAATGTTTAATATTTATATTATTTTATTATATTACTTGTACATTAAGTTATAAAAAAATTATTAAGTTTATAAAAATAAATTAATTTTTATATTATACTATACATGTAAAGTAAAAAACATTGTATTTTATATTAAGATGAAATACTATTTTAAAATATTAAAAAAATTAATATTTATTTATATAATTCACATAATATATTTTTTATATTTATTTTATTAATATGTTATTTGATATTTATTAAATTTAAAACAAAATTATTACATAATATTTCTAAATCATCTTTAATTAAAAATAATGAATTTAAAAATAACTCAATTTTTAAAATTCTATTAAAAATATATATAATGAAATTAATATTGATATTCAAAATTTATTAATATAAAATATGTTTATTGATATATCAATTGTTTTATCTTAATTTAAAATATATTTATTTTTTTAAATAAATATAAATATAATAATATTGTTAATTTTTTTAATTTTAAAAATATATTATTTAAAACAAAAATTCTATATATTATAAATTTATTATTATATAAAAATATGTACAATTATCTTTAAAGATGACAAAAATGTTAAATGTAATTATTTGATTTCTATCTTTAAAAATACATATATAATGCAAATTTTAAAATCACAATTATAAGATAAAAAAATCTTTATTGATCTTTAAAAATAATTATTCATATATATAATTGGATTTTAATATGTTATTGCTTTTATTTAAAAATATTATTATTTCTATTTTAAATATCTTATATACTGCATATACATTTTATATCTAACTTATATAAGTTTTCAATAAAGAATATATAAATTAAATATGGATTCTAATATTTATAAAAACAAATAAACCAAAATTATAATTAAAGTATTACTAATACATGTTATGTGATGGAATGAAGACTATAAATATGATTTTAGTATCGATACTATATATTATTTGAAAAGAACTCAAATGTACAGTCTGCATAGACCTAACCTTTTTATAAAAAGATTACTAGGATTTATTTTAAGACTTATACTAGAAAAAACAAAAGAACTATATAAGGTATAATTGAACAATGAACTGGTTTCTTTTTTATATTTTCATAATTATCTAATGCTTTAGATAAAATCAAGGCAGTTATACGTTGCAAGGTAGGGGTTGTAGTAGAAAACAGTAGATGTTGGCGAAGCAGATAAATAGAATATGAATGAATCATAATACTAGTGTTATAAACA